AGGTTTTTTTTTAATTGTCATTCGCTCCAGCTTTTATAAAGTAATTTATGATGTAAACGTAATAACACAAAAATTAAAAGTTAAAAAAGAACTCTGGATAAAAATTACAGCTGAAAAGTATACCCTAATTAAATACATGTAGTTGAGAATTTGAACAAATACTAGAACTGGTCAATGCAGAAAGGAAAGCTCTTACAGACCACAACTTATGCTTATGTCTGTCGACCAGAGCAGATTTTAATTGATTGCATCGAAAGTGATCGTGGACTGCTTTGGTGTTATTTTTCTTCGCGCTGAAATTGGTCCACAAAACTCGCGCCACCATCGCAGCCAGTTCAATGCAAATCAAAACCATGACCAACTTTGTCACTCTCGTGTTCCCGCGCTTTAAGCAGGTTGGCTGTTCGGCAAATCGAAGATTGGTTGGCTCATCCCAGAAAATAGATAAAGCCAACCCCCAAAGAATGGGGGTATTCTTTTCTCTTATCATCCCTTTATTTTTTTATTTAAAAAAATCAAGTATGCTTTGCACCGCTTGGAATGGAGGATGGAACGATCACTGATGTCCAAGTCAGTTCTTCTTCGCGACTGGATGACAATCATTCACCAAGTCAAGCCCGATTGAATTTTAAAGACGAAGGATTTAAGGCTGGGGGGTGGTCAGCTCAGACAAACGATAAAAACCAATGGTTGCAAGTAGATCTTGGCATTTATACCAGGGTGACGCGTGTGGCGACTCAAGGGTTGAATGCCAACGACGAGTGGGTGACTAAGTACAGGATACAGTACAGTGACGATGGAGGAAACTTCCAGTACTACAAGCAACAGGGTGACAACAAATGGACGGTATGTCTTCGTTAAATGTCCGACCCATGTGATGGACAAGAGCAATATCCAAGGCCACTTAAGGCTACTTTTCAATCCATACTCTTTTCAAACAAGACAATATTTTAGAAAGATGCATGTATTGTGCAGTACTTTCTTGAATGTTGTCTGTGACGCATACAAATTTAAGGGCTGTGTATGTGTCTTTCAAGAATCCTCCATGCTTGTTACAATTTACAGGTGCTGACGGGGAATAAAGGAAGTGATACCATTGCACATAACGATCTGAATCCTCCAATCACAGCACGTTTTATACGGTTTTTACCAAACGGTTGGCACAATAAGATCTCCATGAGGACAGAGATCTATGGCTGTCCAGGTATGTTGAATATTAATCTGGAGTCCTGAGTCCAGTGGCCGAAAGATCATTAGAAAATTATCAACTAGATAAGAAGCTTCATAAGACTTCATAGGCAGCTGGAAATTTTTGGACCAGTCTTTCAGCCTCAAGAAAAATCTTCCGATATACAGAAATTGTTCAGAAAATATAGGGCAAAGAATCAATAAGTTTAATCGAACTCACTCTTTCAACGCTTTATGACTTTCTTTTCCGGTTCCACTTAAGTTTGGATTTTTATCCTTTGTTCCCTCTCGTCCTCATACTCCGAGTTGGAGATGCGATGAAGTGGATGCGTGGGTTATAATTTTTATATTCCATGAAAATTTCCTGTAAAGTTTGGGTAGTATCTACATCTGACACTGATCTTTTAACAACAAATGCAGCATGTGTGACGGCTCTTGGAATGGAAAGTCAGGCAATAGAAGATGCTCAGATAAGCGCTTCCTCGCAACTGGATGGTAACTATTCTGCAATACAAGGCAGACTGCACCTTAAGAGAAATGGTCAAAGGCAAGGTGGCTGGTCGGCTCTCACAAATGATCGTAATCAGTGGCTACAAGTGGATCTTAACACTTTTGCTCGGGTAACAGTAGTAGCGACCCAGGGAAGAGATGGATTCAAAGAATGGGTCACCAAATACAGTTTGCAGTACAGCGATGATGGTGTGACCTTCACTTTCTACAAGGAGTTTGACAGCAGCTCGTAAAAGGTGTGGTAACAATTTCACAGGTAAAAACTCACCTGATAGCCCTATACCTTAGAATCTTCCACAAAGAAGTAAATCATTTTAGAGCAAATCATTTAAAAAAAGATTACTACCATGGATTTCACATTTATTTCATTAAAGCATGAGGAATCTGTTCCCTCATGCTCTGTTCCTTCTGCGCTAAAGATGTGTATGAAATATCAACCACAAAGTGTCTTGAAAGGAGAAATAGATGAAACGGTCCTAAAACAATACTTAAACCTTAGAATACTTCTTTAAAATCTTCATTCGTTCTACTTAGGTGTTTGATGGAAACCGAGATTCAGATAGTGTCGTATACAACAAATTGACTTCACCAATAACTACTCGGTACATACGGCTAATATCAATGGCGTGGAATAACCAGATCTCTATGAGGATGGAATTGTATGGCTGCCCAGGTAGTTTGAAATCCTTAAACTAACGACACCCACAACATTTTCAAAAGTAATTTGTAATCAAAAGACCGATTTAAGCACTAAGAAAGCAATTCAGGTGTCACTGTAGAGTTTAAAAGGGCTCTTTGTGTGTCACACCTGTCTAACTTGACAGTGAACGCCAATTAAGTGTGCTACTGTATCGACTCTTGGGCCACTTCCTCATGAAAAATAATCGACTGTTTTTTACTCATAAATACTTTTAACCGATGATC